GGGGTGCAGGGCCCAAGGACTTGGGCCATCCTCCACTGCACTCCCGGGCCACAGCAGAGAGCTGGCCTGGAAGAGGGGCAACCGGGACAGAATCCGGCGCCCCGACCGGGACTAGAACCCCGTGTGTCGGCACTGCAAGGCGGAGGATTAGCCTAGTGAGCCATGGTGCCCGCTGAGAAAGGCAACTGTGACAGCCCTTCACGCTTGTGGACTCCCTCAGCTGAAGCAGTTCGAGCCAGTGAGCCCCCCCCCACAGCCGAGTGCCAGCCAAGAGCGGGTCTGGCGTGGGGGTCCCACCCCCATTTACTGGGCTACGTGTGTTCTTTCCCATGACACTGCCTTCCTCCAGGCCCCGGTCCTGCCTGGGTCTCCATTTCTCCCCTTATCTTAGAGAGAGACTGCGGCTTCCTTCCCAATTTGATCTTAGACTGGGAGAGTTCTCTGAGTGTCCTTTGCTCCTTATCTTGGGTAGGAATCGGCAGTGGTCAGGTTGTCAGCCGTTCCGCAGCTCTGCTTTGGGGCAGAAGCCCCACACTCAGGGCTCAGGTTCGGGTGCTGCGCTCTGATAAAGCTCCCCTCCCCCCAGGCCCGGTTGGGGGTGGGGCGGCCACTGCTGGGTTATCAGTCTGGTTCACGTGGACCTGTGGTTGTTGAAGACAAGACAGTGGCAGCTTGGGGGCCATTGGCACCCCACCCTGCTTCCTCCTCCCTGAGCAGGAAGTGAGTTTGGATTTCAGGGTACAGGACTTGGCGCAGCAGTTCCCCAGTGCCTTCATTTGGATCCCATTTGGTCCCTGGGATGCTTTGCATTCCCTTATTCTGGTTCTGACTTCTCCCTCTTGGGAGGGGCTGTGAACACTCACAGAACTTGCCTACGTGTGCTCTGGCTCTAGCACGATGCCTTGTACTTGTCTGTTGACAGGTGTCTCTCTGACAGGTTCCCGTGTCATGACTATGGGTGTCCAGCCCGTCATTAAGGCCCCGGTGCCTGGCACAGCACTTGACACAAGTTAGGTTTTGATCAGCGTTTGGTGAGTGACAGCTGCCAAGAGAGACCAGAGAAGCCAGGTGGGAGGGATCCAAGCAGATCTGCAGGGAGAAGTGTGCTGGTCTAGTTCCCGAGGTCAGATGAACCCTGGAGACTGAAAACTGCAAGGTGCTGTGGATACAGGGGCCTGGGTTTGGCCAAGTGTTAGCCTCAAGTAGTCTAGGGGTGATGAGGTACTCAAAGGCTTTGGGGTGAGCCATCAGCGAGAAGGGAAGACAGCACTCAGGGACTCAAGGTTAGGAAGGCAGGTCTGACCCATTGTCCAGGAGGAACCATGAGATCAGAGCCAGTGGTGTGTGACCATAAATCACTCCGGTGCTTAATGCAGGGGCTGAAGCCAAGATGCTTACCAGATACTAGAAACAAAAGCCAAGCTAGCAAGGTCAAGGCCAATGGTTCGGGACAAAGGCTTTGAATGAATCGGCAGTGTCTGTGGTTCACTTGTATTGAATGCTGGCTGTGTGTGTGGGGTGAGACCGGCCAGCTTGAAGGCACGTGGCCAGGCCAGGCCCCATCAACATTCAAACATTGGAACAAGACCAGGAAGCAGCCACTCCAGGCCCCGGCTCATAGGGCCAAGAATCCCCAACTGAACTGGGAGGCTGGGATCCTCTCCAGGAGGGAGGGGAGACTACGAGTGAAGGCTCAAGTGAACCCCAAACAGAAGGGGCAATCAGTGGAGATCCAGGCGGTTGGACGGTCCAGCAGCAGGAAAGAGCAGCCATCCCTGGAGAACTGAGACTGGAGAGCAGCACCCTCTTGTATACTGAGTTCCCCCACCCCTCTGGCTAGCCATCCGATCATTTAGTCACTCAAGCATCAGAAAGAAGGGGCAAATGCAGTGTCTCTGATATGCTAACCTCAGAACATACTCCCTGGCGCTGAGGTCCTGCTAACACTTGGCCAAACCCAGGCCCCTGTATCCACTCAGCTGTGTGCAGCTGTGAATCTAACTCATCTATAGGTCTTTGAAGCCAGGGGCTACCTTGTAGCTCTCAGAACAGAGACAGGATGGGTCTGAAAGTCAGGACTGGGAGGTGGGGTTCTTAATAAGCATAGTTTCCCCGGATTGGCTAAAGCAGAATAAGGACACAGGCACACACACTACCCATGCTCCAAGTGTCAGTCTAGTTGACCTTCTCAGCCGCTATACATAGACAACTCTTGACTGCCAATGCGTGGATTATCTACCTAATGATCCCAACACCTACAAACCTCTCCCTGGCACCACTCTATCGGTGCGAATTAATTTCTGTGTTAGTCAAAGAAGAACATAATTAGGAAGGTAAATTTGCAGAATTCGAATTACATAATGCATGCCCAAGTCAAATAGAAATTATTATGGATTAGCACAGAGAGCGACAGGGTGGAATCTCCAGTCGCTGGCTCTGTGAGTGTTTATGCAGGCAGGGCCTGGGGGGGGGGGGGGGACACAGTTCCTTGGAGTTTCAAGCTTGTGGCTGTAAAAATAATTGCTCATGGGGAATCATCAGAGGAACAAGATGCCAGAACCTGTTAAGGAAGTAGGAGAGAAAGGCATTCGGTTTGCGCGGAATGGCCATCAGGTGAGTGATTAACAGGCTCTTGCCCAACTGTTACATATGCTGGAGGCGAGCATAAGCTTCTTGTCCAGGAAATTTCAATAACAGATCACTGGGGGCTATGGCTCATGCAAAGACTTATTGGAAAACTCGATTTATCTGTATTTTATTTGACTTAGATATTTTAACAGATGAGAGCCTATAGATCTATCTCAATAAAACTACTTAAGAATTATTTATGGGTACCGAAATTTGAATTGTATGTAACTTTAATGTGTCACAAAATATTCTTTAAAAGTTTTAAACATTTATTTGAAACAGATAAAGAGAGATCTCCCATCTACTTGTTCATTCTCCAAATGTTTGCAACAGCCAGGACTGAGCCAGGAACCCAGAATCCAATCCGGGTCTCCCACATGGGTGGAAGGGACCCAAGTATATGAGCCATCAACTGCCTCCCAGGGTGCAGATTATAGGAAGATGCGTGGGAGGTGAAGTCAGGGCTTGACCCAGGCCCTCCAGGAGGGAATGTGGGTGCCCCAAGCAGCAGCTTAACCACTGTACCAAGCTCTCGCCTCCCCTCCCTTTTTTTTTTGATGACCATGAGACCCCCCCCCACTTTTATCTGCAGGTGGGGAGCAGACAGGAGGGAGCAGGTTGGCCAGGACACTCACGTGTGGCACTGTAAGCTCTCACTGGGCTCCAGCTATTTTCGAAGTGTCATTTTATCCCGATAACCTCTCCACCCCGCGCGAAGTCATCTTGATGATCTCTATCATTCGAATGCAGAAAAGACAACCCAGAAAGTGTCAAGGAACCCTCATTCCACGGCAAAACCTCCCTCGCTGTGGGGAAAGTTAGGAGCCAGGGAGCCTTTCGAGTCCCGCCTTAGGAGCAAGCTGCTGGGGCCGCCCTAGCAAGGGCCCTCGGCTCACTTGGGCCGTGCTGGAGCCGCCCCAGCCCTGCTGCACGTCTGGGCCACTCCCGTCAGACACCCAGCGCTGCTACTTCAGGAGGCTTCTGGGACCGGACCTTTCACCCGGACTGGTTGATGGTTCCTGCAAGCTTTCTGCATGGTGCACCCGACTTCCTCTGGAACTTTGTGACACTTCCTGAGGACAGGAGCCGTGCTACTCTCATTCCTGTGTTCTCCCCACAGCTAGAACGGGGCTTGGAGCCGAGTAGATATTCAGCGACAAGGCTTTGCAAAGTCTAGGTGTTTTTGTTTTTTTTTTTTTATGGTTTTCAAGCCTCACTGTCTCCGAGGCCTACAGAAGAGCCCGAATCGCTTGGCACAGTAGAGAGGCCCTCCCGGATGGGTGGCGGGGCACGTGGATGGCTTGCCAACCACACTGGCATGGCAAGATGTTCCCTGCATGTTGCGTCACGAAGCCTGACCAGAGAGTCTGTTCTCAGGGTGTGGGCATGTCTGCAAATGGGGGAGGGGCTTCCGAAGGCCCAAGAAGAACAAAGCCCCGAGGTAAGCTTCTTCTGGGGCAGCTAGTTTGAAATCCAGAGACTGAGGTTGTGGTGCGGTGTGTTAAGCTGCCACTTGCGACCCTGGCGTCCCCTATCAGGGAGATGGTTCAAGTCCCAGCCGCTCTGCTTCCGATCCAGCTTCCTGCTAATGTGCCTGGGCAGCAGTGGAGGATGCTCCAAGTACTTGCGTTGCCTCCAACCACGTGGCAGATCGGGATGGAGTTCCTGGTTCTTGGCGTCTTGTGGCCATTTGGAGGGAGTGAACCATTGAGTGGAAGATCTCTCTCTCTCTCTCTCTCTCTCTCTCTGTGTGTGTCTCTTCATCTCTCTCTGTTGCTCTGCCTTTCAAATAAATAAATACATCTTTTTAAAAAATATTGAAATCTATGCACTGTTTTTTTTATCATTCCTTTTTTAGGAATGGCTTGAAGACCCCACACTAAGCACTGCTATTTAACACATCAACTGGCACGCTGCTGGCAGCTTCCCAGTGAGCACCCACCGTGGGTCAGGCATGAAGTTGGGATCTCGTCTCATCCTCAACAAACCAATGATGCAGTGACGTTGACAGATTGAAGTAGAAGACTTGGGGAGTGTGAAAGCCTCGGGCTGGAGAGGAAGGGGAGGGGAGGGGAGAGGAGAGGTTTTCAAGGGTGAGGGTGAATGAAAGCTGGGAATCTAGACATTTTGGTGTGTGTGTCGGGGGGGGGGGGGTGCTACCCAAGGGAACAGGAGGCGGAACAGGACATTTCAGGAAAACAGAAGGGAACATGGAGGCGGAGCAATCAGGAAACAGCCAGGCCAACGGGCAGCTGTTGAAGCAGGAGCTTTGGGTCACAGAGGAGGCAGCCGCTGTCCAATATTGGGTTTTATTTGCCCGCATGGTTAATTATTGCAGCGGCGTCTGATAAGGCAGCGGCCCTCCTGCAGGGAGCTGGGGTTATCTGCACTTTTACAGCCCTGTCATGCAGTAATGGAGCAGATAAGCTGCTAGGTGGTGGCCACTTGGACACTCATTAAAACCTCTGCTGAGAAAGGGAGCAAGGAGAGGGGACAGTCATGGCAGGAAGAGACCAAGGAGAGAACCAGAAGGTAGGTGGGATCTGAGCTGGTACAATGCCCCCTCCACCGACCTGGGCTGCCAGGGCAAGCTGCCTGAAACCTGGCCCAGCCCTGGCATTCCTGGAAATACGGACACCCAAGGTGGGCCTCTGTGCGAGGTGCTGAGCCCATAGCTCCTTAAGCAGCCCAAGCCAGAGGGATTAGCCCTTCTTCTGCTGGAAGACATGGTGTCGTGGCATTTGGGGAGTGAACCACCGGATGGGAGTTCTCTCTGCCTGTCCCTCTGTCTCTCAAGGAAAGGAAGAAAGAAATGGAAAGAAGAGAAGAGAGAAGAGAAGAGAGGGGAGAGGGAAGGGGAGGGGAGGGGAGGGGAGGGGAGGGGAGAGGGGAGGGGAGGGGAGGGGAGGGGAGGGGAGGGGAGGGAAGGGAAGGGAAGGGAAGGGAAGGGAAGGGAAGGGAAGGGAAGGGAAGGGAAGGGAAGGGAAGAGGGGCTGGCGCTGTGGCGTAGTAGGCTAAGCCTCCGCCTGCAGTGCCCGCATCCCATATGGGTGCTGGTTCGTGGCTGCTCCACTTCCGATATAGCTCTCTGCTGTAGCCAGGAAAAGCAGTGGAAGATGGTCCAAGTCCTTGGGCCCCTGCACCCACATGGGAGACCCAGAAGAAGCTCCTGGCTTTGGATCAGCCCAGCCCCGGCCATTGCAGCCATTTGGGGAGTGAACCAGTGGATGGAAGATTTTTCTCTCTGTCTTTCCCTCTCTGTAACTCTATCTCATAAACAAATAAATAAAATCTTTAAGAAAAAAGAAAGGAAGAAGTTAATGAAGGGAGGGAGGAAGAAAGAAAGAAAATACATATTCAACCTTTGAGTTACAAAAAAATTCTTCAAAAAGGCCGGTCATCTATTTTTTAATTTCAATCCATTGTTCATCAAGTTGAGTCAAGAAAGTCCCATGCTCAACTTAGAGGTCAGTAGTAATTTGAACTTTATATAATAGTGACGTATTATAAAATACTCTTCTTCTGATTTCATCTCCCAACCGTTTACAAGTGTGGAAACCATCCTTAGGCTTCTACATCCTTAGCCCAATTTGCTGCCTGTTTTTGTGTGTGCGCCATGCTGGGTGTTTCTGTGCAGCCCACAAGCTAAGGATGGTTTCCACACTTATAAACATTGAGGGGGAAAAGCTCAAAAAAAAGAGGTAGACGTTGCGATGTAGCTGTGAGCTACTGCTCCGGACGTCTGCATCCCACACCACCTGCTTCAAGTCCACGCTCCTCCGCTCCCAACCCAGCCTCCTGGAGCTAGTGCACACGCGGGAGGAAGCAGGTGATGGCGCAAGTGGTTGGGTCCCTGCCACCCACGTGGGCGACTCCTCCTGACTTCTGGTCTCCTGGCTTCAGCCTGGCCTGGCCCTGGCGCCTTGTGGGCTTGTGAACCAGCATGAAACATGTTTCTCTCTCTGACTTTCAAATAAATGAAAATAAATTTTTGAGAATGTTTGTGACACACGAAGATTACATAAAATGCAAATTTTGGCACCTACAAATAATTTTTAAATAGCTTTATTGATACAATTTATAGATGCTAGTGAAGTTGTTAAAAATGTCCAAAGATTTCTGGTATATTGAAAGGGTGCCAAAAAAAACTCAATGTCAAAATAAGCAGTACTTTAATATAATATTTTCAAAATAAAAATTAATGCCCAAACAAATCCATGATGAACAAAATACTAGCCTTTGAAATGGTGAGAAACTCAGTAACAGAGCTGTGCCAAGCCGTGCTGAAGACTGAAGGGAAAAGAAAAATCAGTGACACAGATTCTACCTTGATTTTAAATTTTAATATACTTTTTTTTAAAAAAAAGATTTTACTTTATTTATTTGAGAGGCAGAGGCAGAGAGAGAGAGAGAGAAAGAGAGAGAGGTCTTACAACTGCTGGTTCACTCCTCAAATGGCCTCAAAGGCTGGAGCTGTGCCAATCCTAAGTCAGGAACCAGGAGCTTCTTCTGGGTCTCCCACGCAGGTGCAGGGGCCCAAGGACTTGGCCATCTTCTACTGCTTTCCCAGGCCATAGCAGAGAGCTCAATCAGAAGTAGAGCAACCAAGATTCAAACTGGCACCCATATGGATGCTGGCACTGCAGGTGGTGGCTTTTTGCCCGCTACACTACAGCGCCGGTCCCTTAAATTTTAATATTCTGTCCATCATGGATTTTGTAATTCGTTTTGATTTTTTTAAAAAAATACATGGCATTTGGGGCTGGTGCTGTGGCATAGAGGGTAAGGCCGCCATCTGCAGTGCTGGCATCCCATATGGGCGCCAGTTCAAGTCCCGGCTATTCCTCTTCCGATCCAGCTCTCTGCTATGGCTTGGGAAATCAGTAGGAGATGGCCCAAGTCCTTGGGCCCCTGCACCCACGTGGGAGACCGAGAAGAAGCTCCTGGCTCCTGGCTTCAGATTGGTGCAGCTTTGGCCATTGCAGCCAGTTGGGGAGTGAACCAGCAGATGGACGACCTCCCTGTCTGCCTCTCCTTCTCTCTCTGTGCAACTCTGCCTTTCAAATAAATAAATAAATCTTTACAAAAAGGATATGGCATTAAAAGATTTATCTTGATTACTGAGCTTCTGTGTACCATCTTGAATTTTGCACCCAAATCAAGTCCAGGGCTTGGTGTCTGAGTCTGTGGGTAAAAGTGGCATTTAAGGTGGAGTCAGAGTGACAAAGCGGGCCAGTAGCTGTGAAGGATAGCAAACTCCTAGCACCTTGCATAGGACGTCGTTTTCTCCTGTATTGTAAAAAACATTTTCACAACTTTACCAACGTTTTCAAGAAAGTACTTTGTTTCATGATTCTAAAAATAAAAAATAGTCACTGAGAAAAACATAAAGCACTAAACAGTAAAAATAAAATAAAATAAATTTCACCCCAAATCCCATCACCCAGAGATAGTTGCTGTCATTGTATTGGGCACCTGTCCTTCCAGAATGTTCTCCCTATAGGTTCACATGGGCACATCAGTGTTGAATTTACAGAGAGGAGTCACCAGCCAGAATGGCACAGGTGTGTTTCCATCTCAATAAATACAGAGCCACAGCATCATTGAAAGATTATTCCTTTATTTTCATCTTATATGAAAGGCAGAAAGCCAAGAGCTCTTCCATCCACTAGTTCACTTCTCAAATGCTCACAACAGCCAGGGGGAAGCCAGGAGATGGGAACCAGTCTAGGTCTCCCGCACGTGTATAGCAGAAAACCCGGACAGCTGAGCCGTCACCTGCTGCCTCCCGGGGTGTGCACAGGCAGGAAGCTGGCTTGCGAGCAGAGGAGCTGGGACTCGAATTCGTCATGTGGGCATCCCAATGGGGACTTAGCCACCGGGCCCAACCCCTGCCCACACAGCTCCAGCGTTGATGCCTACACAGTACACCAACACATGCACACAATAAAACCCCGCCCGCGAGCATCTGAGCTTTCTTTTTCTGTTAAGACATTTCTAAAGAAAAATAAATCACTTTGAATCACTCCCTACCACACGCTTTGTTTGTACCTTCTCTTCCTGTCTGTGGCTCAGGGCATATTTTCACATGGCTGAGGTCACGGTGGACGTTCAGTTTCATATTCTGCAAAGCTTGAGGGTTTGTACAAAACCAGTCCCCCGTGTTTTTTAGACTCTTTATCCAGTTTTCTCTTTTTCCAGGGCTCAGCAAACATCATGTGCTCTTTTTGTTTGTTTGTTTATTTCAGCCATTTTTAAAGAGGTTTTAAAAAAACATTTTTGGGTTGCTGGTGAGAAAAAAAAATCAGAAAACAGGCTTCTGGCTGAATGTGGCCCACGAGTGTGCCAGCCCGTGTGTTATGTTGCCGCCCCTATCTCTCAGTGCGGGGAAAGTCTCTACATACACAGCTTTTTCCGTCTTTTCAGCCATTTCCTTTGGATGCTTTCCCAGGAATGAGATCCTGGATCCGTGGGCAGGACCGTCTTTCATGACCCCTGACATAGATCGCTTTATTATAAAGCTGCTACCCAGCACCTGTGAACACACGGGCGTAGGCTCCTTACAACCTTGCCAGCGCCTGGTCTATACTCACTTGGCTGCTCTAAAATGATAGGTTGTTGACATTTGTCCATCTGATTATTCTCAAAGGAGGGTTTTGGGTTTTTTGCTTTGTTTTGTTTTGTTTTTCACAAGTTCCATTGCTCTTCGTTGAGTCATCGTAGAGGCCGTGTTGGAATCGGCTGAGAAGGAGCCGTCTTTGAACCGCTTCCTCCAGGTCAGAGACAAACGCTCACTTGGTTCAAACGCACGTGTGCCGAGAAGCACGGCACAAGTCTTGCTGTGTTAAAGCAACAGAGAAACCCACGGAGGACTCCTTGCTCCACGGCCGCACAAAGATCCCGAAAGTGGGTCGAGAAGGAATTCATCCTGCGGGTTCCAGTAATTAGAGTCGACAAAAGGATGGAAAGTTCAGGAAGGACTGGGGGCAAAGGGGGCGGGAGGGGCTCTTGCAAGGCCCCTGATCTTGGCGCACTGCCCCCTGGACGCTGCGGCCCCAGCACTGGCAGCCCCCAAGGGACTTTCCTTTCCCCCTCTTCTGGCTTAGAGACTCGCGTTTGGCTTTTCCTCCAGCGTGAAGTCAGATGGTGCCAGAGGCGGAATGGATCCCACTGGGAGATCGTCCCCTTCTCAAGGGAACGAACACTCCATGCTTGCTTCCTTCGTATCCAGCACAGGTGGAAGTGACTTCTCCATCTTCGCAGGAACCCAACATGACATGAGCTGCTGCTTTTACTTCTTTTTTTTTTTTTTTTTTTTTTTTTTTTTTTTTTTTTTGACAGGCAGAGTGGACAATGTGAGAGAGAGACAGAGAGAGAGAGACAGAGAGAAAGGTCTTCCTTTGCCGTTGGTTCACCCTCCAATGGCCACCGCGGCCGGCGCACCATGCTGATCTGATGGCAGGAGCCAGGTGCTTCTCCTGGTCTCCCATGGAGTGCAGGGCCCAAGCACTTGGGCCATCCTCCACTGCACTCCCGGGCCACAGCAGAGAGCTGGCCTGGAAGAGGGGCAACCGGGACAGAATCCGTTGCCCCAACCGGGACTAGAACCCCGTGTGCCGGCGCCGCTAGGCAGAGGATTAGCCTGTTGAGCCACGGTGCCGGCTTGCTTTTACTTCTGATACAGGTTTGTACTCACTTTTTCTTTTCTTTTAAGGGATTCATTTATTTACTTGAAAGAGTTAGAGAGAGAGAGAGAGAGAGAGAGAGAAATCTTCCATCTGCTGGTTCAATCCCTGGATGGCCACAACGGCCGGGGCTGGGCCAGGCAGGAGTCAGGAGCCAGGAGCGTCTTCCAGGTATCCCATGTGGGTGCAGGGGGCAGCCTCCACTGCTTTTCTCAGGCCATCAGCTGGGAGCTGGACTGGGAGTGGAGCAGCTGGGACACCAATTGGCACCCATATGGGTACCGGCATCACCAGTGGTGGCTTTCACCTGCTACACCACAAGACCAGTCACTGCATGTATGGAGCACATGTGATCCATGACAAGGACACATAGAGGCGAACACTTGTCTAGGGAGGCTAACAGGCCAGGACTCTGGTCAGAAGGTTTCAAGTGTACGGTCAAGTGTCTCCCAGTGGAAGAAGCCGTTGGAGGTACAATGGGGGCGTGGTAAGGATGAGAGTAAGCAGAAAAGGGCATTGCTGCCCCCCCCCCCCAGAGCACCTACACTTAATGAGAGGCAGAGAGATGGGAAGATATCCCAGCCACTGGTTCACTCCCCTAAATGCCCACAGTCATCACCAGTTGCCTCCCAGGGTAAACCTGGAGTCAGGAGCCAGAGCCGGGTGTTGAACCGAGTCACCCTCTGTGGGGTATGGGTGTTCCAAGTGGCGTCATAGCAGCTATGCCAAATGCCTGCCCCTAATTTTTTCAAACATCGTTGTCCCAGTCCAACAAAATTTGCCTGCCAGGAATCTCAGCTTGTGAGTCTGGAAGAGCCACCATCAGCATCTTCATCTCTTTGTTGGCAGCCAACACCGCGTTCCCAGCTCTCCGCTTCCCACCCGTCTTCGGCTCTCTGCTAGGCTCGCCGAGACACCCCTGAGGAAAAAGAAGCCAGAGCTCCAAACCACGCCATCTCCCCAAGGATCAGCTTGGGGTTGCTGGACAGCACTGTCCGGACCAGCACGCGTGCTATGGTCGCCCACAGTCATCTCAGCTCTGGGCAAAACTCTGAGTAGGTGGTCAATTCTGGGCATCTTGAGTGCTAAGGCAAAGAGGTCTGCTCAGGCTTGCCTTAGCAAGAGAGGCTGTCTTGTAGACACAACCTCCAGGTGGGCATTTGGTGCAGAGGTTAAAACACCAGTCCGGATGGCAGCATCCCACGTGGGAGTGCTTCCGATTCTAGCTCCCTGCTAATGCGCACCCTGGGAGACAGCAGGTGATGGGCCAAATACTTGAGTCCCTACCACCCAGGTGGTACAGTGGGTAAAACCACTGCCTGTGGTGCTGGCATCCCATATGGGCACCAGTTCAAGTCCCGGCTGCTCCATTGTTGGCCCTGGAACTGTTCTACCCCCTCCCTTGTTCAATGTGGTCTTGCAGCAAGTGTCGGTCACGGTCCCCTGTCCTTTCACGCCCACCATCCCAGGGAATGTGCCCTTGACCCAAGTGAACCAGGGGTAGCAAATGGTGGGCCTGGATGTCTCCTACACGTGAGGCATTTAGGAGAGCCCACTGTTGCTGTCTAGATTCCTAGAATTTCCTTGCTTCCTGTCCCTCCTTCGCCTTGCCCAGTTTTTCCATTCGGGGGGGTCATGCACATCTTCCCAGCAAACTCCCAACATCCTTTTCTGCCGTTTACAACCACAGAGCCCAGGCTGATGTGCCTTCCTTGAACACTGTGTGTAATAATTTTTGTTCTTATTATCTGAGAGACAGACAGACAGCTCCCAACCAGTAGCTCACACCCTAAATGCCCGGAACAGGCCTGGGCTGGGCTGGGGCTGAAGCAGGGACCGGGGAACCCAATCTAGGTCTTCTACATGGGCGGCAGGAACCCAATGACTTGAGCCATCACTACTGCCTCCCAGGTTGCCTTAGCAGGAAGCTGGAGTCAGCAGTCAGACGGAGGACTCCCGTGTGAGACACAGGCATCTCAGCTACCAGGCTAAATGCTCCGACAACAAGGTTTCAATAGCCATCCCACCCCCAGTGTTCTCTACCTCAATACCTGGCTTTTTGTGTTAAGCACCTAGAATTTTAGAATTGCTTGGCTGTCTGACACCTGACTAGAAGCCGCAGGCAGACAGGAAATGCCACAGGCTTGCTCACTGCTGTATGCTCTGGGTCTAAGACATGCCTGCTACCATTGTTCTGTTAAAGGAGTAAAGGGAGTCCCAGGCGTTGGGGGCTGAACTGGAAGGCTCCCCATGTTGACAGATGCCAGTTGTCTAACGTGCGTTGTGCGGGTCTGAGGTCTGATGTTAGGAGCAGCTGGCGATGTCAGGGATGAGGAGGTGTGGGCAGAACTTCTGAGTTCCCAGGGCCTACAAGGGTGGCTCACGGATGCTGTTGACCTCTGGCCCACTTAGACGAGGTC